GATAAACATTTATTTTAACTGTAAAATAAAGACTATAAAAATACTGTAGGCTGTTCAGTTTTGTAAATTTTTAAAAATATATTTTAACACAGATGGAGCCATTTTATTTACATACAAAGCATTCTGGGTAAATGATGACGTGAATAGGTCCTCGGTGTGAGCGAACTATATCCACCCTGAAGGTTAATCTTGGACAATATCTGACGGTTGGCTCTTAAATGAAACCAGAGAGCATTGATAGAGAGAAGGCAGAAATAATTCAGTCTACAACTGAAGATGTGGATGGAGGACAACAGAGCTGCTTCATGGAATAAGCCTGTTAGCCTTTGCGCTAGCGCCGAAACTATATTGCCTTATATGTATTAGCTCAGCACTAGCACGACAAGCTAACAAGCTAAACTGAGGTCCTCCATCCATATTTTCAGTTGCAGGCTGAGTCATTTTTGCGTTCCCCTCTGTCATGTGGATGGAGGACCTCAGTGATGAGAGAATGTGTAGCGCTGAGTTAATACATATATATATGGTCCTTGTATGCTTTGCGTGTAAATAAAATGGCCCCATCCATGTAATATATTTTTTTAACTTTTAGTTTAAAAATGATAAAAACTAAACAGCCTACAGTATTTTTACAGTCTTTATTTTATAGTTAAAATATGTGTTTAGCAAATAAAGTCTAATCTTACAACTAATCATGGATCCCTATAAAGCTTGTGTGTTGAAGCTTTAGGCACTTTTAGCAAACAAAATAGTGTTGTAGTGAAAAGAATGTGTGTCAGAGAGCTGCACTGACATCTGAATAGATTTTTACTTTCATTGCATTCATTTTCTGTTACATTTTACTTTTTCTTATACTTCTCATTTTAGCACCAAGGGGATTGTCCTCACCGCGATTAGATCCCATTAACGAAACCACCATTCAAATAGAGTGGGACCCACCAACCCAACTTAATGGACCATATCCAATATATCAGGTAGAAGTCATGGCCTGAAGTTTTTGGTGTGTGTGTTTGTTGGTAACAAAAGCAATTTACCTTTGTTCACTATAGTAGGTCTACCTCTGTGGTGTTTTTGGATTGAATAGAAATGCTTTTCCAGAGAATGGTAATCAGATATTGAAGCAATCTGTTTAAACAACACAAAATATATTAAAATACACTTTTTATGTGACTTTATACCATCATGATTGGGTCACAATCCAAGTTTTACTGTGGTTACTATAATTCAGATTATGGCATAGATATTCTGTATATACAGTACATACTACAGTAGACCAAGTTTTGGAGTCAACTCAATCCAAGATGAACACCAGAGCTAACCAACATCGGCAAAGACAAAAATGGTATTAATCAGTCAGTTTTGCGTATGTAAAGGCAAAATGTGGTGTGGCAGTTGCTGAAAGTCTTCCCTAATACTGAGTATGAGTTCTAAAAATTGTGTGATATCTTTGTTTAAAACTTTTAGCATGCAAAATTGCAGATGATGTACCTTTCTTTAAGGAATGTTAGCTCTAATTCCTTTATCAGTTTGTGCTTCATGTTTTGCAGGTGGAGAGAATAGACATTTCCCTCTCTGACCCAAATGAACCAGTTGTCAGGGGAACCAGATTTCCAGGGCAAGGTTACTACGAGTTTCCCAGTAACACTCTTCCTAGCAATACTGATTTTACAGGTAAGAAAACATGAAAGAATTCATGCATATTATATACTGTATATAAAAAAGAAATGGTGTTTGCATATCTGTGATTGTGCTCAGAAATGTTTGAACTAAATATCTCTATTCAGATTGTTTGCATAAATATGAACCTAAAATGTACACACAATCTTTAAATATAGATTTGGAAGAAACGGGTTAACAACAACAAAAATAAGCTTTTTAATTTTTTGTACATGAAAAAAAATTACACATTTGTAAAGTAAAAATGTTTGTAAATTCTTGTTTTAGCCATTGGGTATGAATTCCTTCATTAGTTTAAAATGTGCTGTTTTAGAAAACCATAAAAGCCATGATGATCTGTACTTTTTACAAGCACAACTCGTGTTCTGGATATTCTCTTAACATTCTTCTAATATAATCTGGATTTTTAAAACAATAATTTTTATTCAATAAAAAAACTTCTGGGATTTGGTCGCATTTCGCATAGCCTGGCCCTTGCCTTCCTGCACAGTTCCGCTCAGTTTTAGTTTCCCTTCACTCCTCCATCTGGGATTTCTCCTATAGACAAGGATTTCTCTAGTAAAATTTCAACCGGGCCAATCAGCGAACAGGAGTAGGAACTATGAATGATGACATCAATTTTCTGCGCTGTTTTAGTCTGCCTGTGGTTTAGCAATGGCAGCAGAGGAAGTGAATGACACCAGTCCGTGTTGACAAACCTTTCAGATTAAATTGAAGTTGTCTCACAAAGCCTGTAGCACTCATTTACAGCCATCTTGTTCTCTCTCTCTTCCTATAGCAGATGGTTGTTTGTGGCGCACATAATTTCCGGTTAGCTTCTTAGCTTAGCTTCCTTCACGGTCAAGCTGGCACACTACATACGGTCAAACATTAGCAATGGGGTAAATCAGATCCAATCATTTAAAATTTCAACAAGAGCCAACGCCTTCGGTAAGAAGTCTTTTCACAGTAGCCAAGAGTCCAGACCCTCTGTATGAAGCAAAGCATAGAACAAAGGGCTGGTTTTTGCCAGGCTACACATTTTCAATTTCTTTTACATTATTGTTCAACGTTCTTCTAATGTTAAAGTAATGACAATTCCAAATATTATGTGACAGAGTTTTTAGTTTCTTGTAGCTCTTGTCTAAACTTGCAAACTTTCACATTTGTCTACGAACCAATCTTTTAGAAAAAAAAGATATAATTAACATATACAGTTGCATTTCTTCTGCTGAAGTGCATTTAGTTGGAGATTCTGGATGCTTTCCAGCCTGAAATCTCAATAATGCCATTTTTTTATATTGTCCCCACAAAAATTTTTGGTGTCACAATAAAAAATGTCCACAAACGCAACAATGTTTCAATCATGCAAGGATAAAGTAAAAAAAGAAATAAAAAGAAAATGTAAAACTTGTCTCTTATATTCTGTGTTGGATATTTGCGTGTTTTTGTATCATTTGGTGCCTGAAATGCAGTCTCTTATTCAACTAGTAACATTTCTTTAGAATGACTTCCCCAGTCATCTTAAAGGACAATTATGTTTCTGTTTACTAGCATCATTAGAGGGTTGAGCTGCACAGCTAAACATGTTCTGCTTCATCTGAGAACATCACCCAGTCTGACGCTCATAATTAATGACTGCTGATACTAATCAGTGGGTCTGAGCATGCAAAGCTCTTGGATGCCACTCGAGATTGCTTCACTGTCCTGCACAAACCCTGCATCATCATTTATGTTTGTCTGTGAGGACGGACAACCATAGACCCCTAAAGTTAGATGACTGTGAAAATATTTTCAAACCAAAGCAAAAGTATTTGATTAAAAAAATGCAAAAATGCAAGTTTGTTCTTAACGGCAACCGTGTTTTTGCATAATGCAGATAACATAAACCCTTATTCTTTGAAAACTTTGATCAGTCAACTAAAACCACAAATAATTATATCCTAGTGATAAACCATTGCTTTGAAAACCAAGGTTGTCTACCAGGATTATTTTAAAACTTCCAGAATATTAGATTGGACTGTAACCGTAATAATAAGCTACTTTTTCAGTTTCACTTCTTTGAGATTTAGAATCTTTAATTGACATTCAACAAAGCATAAAGCTTTAATTTTCCTTAACGTTTTATATTGAAAAACTAATTTGGAGCTCACAGCTTTTTTTGTTTTCATCAATGGGATTCTATGAACTTATGTTTTTATCTTTTTTTTTCACATAGGGAAACAAATATTTTCACACTTGTTGATTTCTTTTTCTTTNCTTGTTAAGTTCTTCTGAGTTTTGTGCTTTATTTAAAATAAATAATCTTTGTGATTTCTGTCTTGTCCCTCTGGCAAAAAGATAAAAAAGATCTCTCTGAACACAGCCAACAAATAAATGATGATTTTTCCTATTGAAGGATGCTTTTTCATTCCCCTCCACTCTCCTCCTTCATAAAGGGTAATGGATCAGACAATCACTTTCAGACCGGATCTATTCTGGACCATCAATGTGTCAGCAGTCCTCAAACCGTCGCCCTTTTTAAACCATCAATACTAATAGCATCATCTACAGACAATTATTCCCATAGAAGTGCACGGAACAGCGAACAAATCAAAGCCAAATTGGATTATGAATGTAATGCAGTGTAATGCCCCCTCGAGAGTCAATTGATCACAGAGGAGAGACTCGTCAATCGTTGATATCTCATGGAAACCTTGTAACTCAAGCAGTATTAGCTGTACATCTGTAACTTTTTTATATTAACTACGTTTTTGTGGTTTTATGGTTTCCCTTTTTTTTTTACCTTTTTTTAAAGAAACCTATGTGACAAAGTGTATCTGAGAAATTGTCATTCACTCAGACTTACAGAACAGTATCTCGACGCAGAGCACTTATGTCTTTGAAGATAAAGATGATCTCCCTGAAAGCACAAATCATCATTTCCCTTGTCAACATTATGCACTGTCCTAGGAGTATTAATAATTTGTTGTTTCCATTCTAGACTCCATCATTTTCTAAACATGTGAATTAAGGGTTCCTACCAGCACAGGGTCAATGTTTTGTTTGGTAGTCTAGTTCAGGACAATCTTTTGCATTGGAAATTGCGTATTTGGCCTTTCACCTGTTATTTAATGGTTACTTTGCTAAAATTATTTTGGGCCATATAGGTTATTTTCCATGTGCTTTTACTATGATTGGCATGCATGTTACCATAAATTAAATTAGTTGTCCTGCATTTAAAGATGCCTTTTAAAGTCTAATGAGAAGTAAGGTCAATATGGACCACACTGAGTCTTAGTTTAGATAAAGCGGGATTACTAAATGTAATCAGTCTTTGATATGAATAACCTGTGAGTTTGTGTTTCCATAAATGCTCGTTAGTTCATTCATCTTATTTATATGATTCTGGATTTAAAGCCCTTTTGACTTTCTGCTCTTCAAGTTCATATTTGAATTAACAACCCCCTGCATTTCAGTTAAGAGTGACATATGTTCATTTTTGTAAAAATAATGTATTTAAATTGAAATAGATCCAACCAGATTGCACAGTCCACTCTCTTCTTGTTTATAATTCTTCCCATTTTGGGCCTTTAATGGGTTGGTTGAGCTGGATGAGATGACGTGCCTATATTTTTGCTAATCCAGATGTATTTTCTTCATCCCACATTTAATGAAGAGGGATGATGCATTACACAAATATTTTTATGAAAAAAGAAGGGGGAAAAAAGAAAGCAAAAACAAATAGACTTGGATAATTTCCAGACACGTCTAACACAGCACGTTGTACTGAAGCAGCTAAGCAGGAAAGAGGGAAATGTTAAATGATACAAATTATTTTTCCTTAATTAATATGATTGATTGTTAGGCATTGACGTTGAGAGGTGAGGGGGGAGAGAGAAGTGTGTGAAGGGAAAGTTTGCACAGACATCATTAGTTTTTCCCCATTTAAAGATTAATCAGAAGAGGCTGGGCTCTTTAATTCTGTCATTTGTATATTTAATGGGCTGCTGCAGAATCTATGGGTGTAATTAGCTAGCTGCCGTGCTCTCATTAATACGCCAGGCTCTGATTAATGCCAGCAGAGAGCTAACATGACTGGAGTTATTCAGGTTATGTTGTGTAGATGATTACTCACAACCTCCGCTGTTTACTGAGACAGAGAGGAGAAACAATGCAGATGAAACAATACTGCCTAATAAATAAGACTCTAAATTGTACTGTACTAACTGATCCTTAATGTTACCTGATATTGTTACATATTGTGGATTTTTTTTATTATAAACAATGTGAATGTGAATTTCATAAGAATATACAGTAAACCACAAGCCTCACATGATCTGTTAGCATTCTGGTTGTAATGGAGGTGACACTCAAGCACTACTGACGGTTTTAGCTCAAAATCTGTAAAAAGGACATAGTCACTTTTGTGTTTGCTAAACTCATATTGAGTTCACTTCAGTTATAGATGTGCATTATATACAGTGTTTACTTTATTGGAATTTCATTAAACGGTCCACTGGTTAATGAGATACAGTATTTTGCTAAAATAAGGACAAACGCACACATGCAATAGCATTGTCACCCACCTTTCATGGCAGCAGATGTTATTTAAATCCAGACTCTAAAAAGAGGGTAGTGAAGATGAGAAAAAGGAGTTAGCTGTGACCATGCTCATGGTTTGGTAAAAAATGTCATTCACATCAACAGTTGTACAATTTCTCCAGAAAAATTGTGACCCTACTTGGTATAACTCAAAAGCTCTTTGGTTGGGAGAGTGCCTAATCAGTGTGAACTTTGTTTCTCTACAATGGCTGAAAATTACACAGTATTAAGCCTTATGGTGCGTTCACACCGAACGCGATTTCAGCGTCAGGAGCCTCAGGTTTACATACAAAGTCTATGGTGGACGCGCTTCAAGCAACGTCGGGAAGTTCTGCGGCGCCTCAAGCGCGATTAGAGCAGCGCGATTTGAACGATCTGAGCGTTCGACGCGCTGAGGCGCAAATCGCTGAAGTTAGAAAATCTGAACTTTT